ATTATTTATTGTATGTTGTTTAAAATAGAAAAAATAAACAATTAAATTGAATTAAAAAAAAAATTGAGTTAGAACATAAATTTTACAATATTGGACAATTTTTTCGGGAGTGAAGGAAGCATCACACCACCAAAGATAACCAATGAAATGATTTTCCGATTGAAATAAGATGTCGGCCAATCGCTCAACGGCAATCTGCATCTTCAGTTTGCAGTTTTAGTTAGTGTTAGGTAGTGGATCATTGTAAGGTTAGTACCACATTTCTGGTAAGTAATTATTGAATATTATTTTTTCGAATTATTCGGAATTATTATAGGTAGGTAGGTATTTGCAAAATTGTTCCGGGCAGTGTTGCCAGATTAGGGAATTTTTCCCTATTTATGGGGAATATTTTGGAGAATAGGGAAAAAGGTAATTATTATTTATTTATAGAATATATTCTATAGATAGAATAATAAATCCCCAACTTTATAAGTGGTTTTCTACAAGGCTAGCGCCAACGAGGAAGCCAACTGAATATAAATATAAATCGCTCTATAAAACTAGCATACGGTAGAGACTTTCTATTTTTTGACAACAACTTCAAAAAAATATAGGGGCTCTAAGGGAAATTCATAATAGCAATAGGGAATTATAGGGAATTTTTATATCACTGGATAGGGATTTATTTTTTACCCACCTGGCAACACTGGTTCAGGGACTGATGTATGGGCTGGTATTCTAGGCAAAGACATAATTGGACCGCTTTTTATCAAAACCTGACTGGACAATTATTGAAATTGTTATAGACCCACTAATTAACCAGTCATTAGAAAATCGGATTAACGAACAAGGAAACATGTTGCTTGATGAAAGACATTTGTACTTTTAACAAGATGAATCTTCTTCTTACTATGCTTTACCAGTCAGAGAATGGATGAACCAAAGATTTCCCGAGAAATGGATTAATAGAAGAGGTGCTCAAGAATGAACGGCAAAATCTCCAGATCTAACACCACTTGATTTTTTTCTTTGCGGTCATTTAAAAACACAAGTTTATTTCTTTTATTTATATTACTTTTTTTGGCTCAAACTTGTAAAGCCGTGATCGGATTTTAATTTTTTTTAATTTCAATGGTCTCATCCATTGAATTTCAATTAAACATCAAGTTTGTTTTTGTTCCAGATTATATTTACTACTAACTTAAAAGTTATTAAGGGTGGTTAGTTTTTAATTGCTTTTAAATACAAATTTTATCAACTAATTGAAGACAAACAAACCTCTAAAACTAAAACCAAAAAACCTTTTGATTAATACAAAACATTCAGCAATTTGTATCTCACACCACCAAGTGACAAAAAGCTTAACCTTAACACTAAAACTAGTATATGAATGAATCCCCTTGTACACACTACGTCACATCTATCCCTAAATTCAAGGCCTCATTTGATATTCCGCTTTATGAATGAAACGTGTTAAGTGCTTTAGTGCAGCTTTACATTGGATATGGGCACCTGAAATATTGCTCTCCATGCGCTGCATGTTTTAAATTTTATTATAATGTGTTTCATCATAAAAAATAATAAAACTTTAACTTAGTTTTTATGGCAGTTTTAGTGCAAGTTTTAAGTTCTGTCTTTTATGAAAAGTCTTATTTTTTAGATAGGGGAGATTCTAGGAAATGAGTTAGGGTTTTCCAGGGTAATTTAATCCAAAAATGACCATCATCATAAGCTCTTTTCTAAAATAATTTGTATAAATTTTGATAATAATAATAATTATTATAATAATTATTATTTTTAAAGCTATGCTCCGACATGTATAGTGAGATTAGATAGCTAGATATAGTAAGAGTTGTCAACAGTTATCGAATTTTTTGATTGGTTCTAACGGTTTCTTTACAGACTATATATAGTCTCCTATTATAGGAGATAACCGAATAGTGGGTAGTTAGCGTTAACAATAATAATGCTAAAATCATAGAACGCTGGAAGATAAAGGATTATTTTAAATAAAACTAAAAATCTTTCCATACAAATTTTATTAAAATGCCTTGTTGCCTTTTTGTGCCGGTCTCTTCAATTGTCGAAGTAAATTGAAAGGAGCAACGAAGCATTGTGTTTTTCCGAAGACTTATCGCAAACATAAAACAACAGAACGACTGCCATTGTGTTTTGTAAGTGGGGAACAGAATGGACTAGTAAAGTAGCCACTCGTTTAAAACTTATTTGTTACCACTTAGTTTTTCCTTCGAGGATTCCCGAAGACTTGTTCAGGAGAGAACTTTTATGAGTTGGGGATAAGTCCCCTTTGAATGAAGTTTTTTATTAACGATTTAGAAAACAGGATCTTCTTTTAATTATATAGGGTGAACCGGTAAGATGTGCAGTAATGGTTATCAATTGATATAAAATAAAAGGTCGATATGAACCCACACTTTTGAATGGCTTCAATGTCCGCAAAATAGGTAAAAGTCACGATGTGATAAATCAGGCGAATACGGTGGTGGATAGTGGTCGAAGACCAATATTTCCTATTAAAAATAAGACCTAAAAACAAGAGGTAAAAACCAAGTCAGAGGCAAACATGTCAAAGCTCTCCATCCAGTCACGTGTCATCGAGATGGCACACTCAAATCTGTTACTCTAAAATGTCACGATATTTGTTTTTGTAGAAAAAATTGTGTTAATTTACATTTTCTAAAGGATTTTAGTGTGTAAGCCTAGTAAAATTTGCAACTTTATAAGTATATTATGTATCAAGTTTAATAAACGCCATTTTGTTCACGAATTTAAATTAAATGAGTGTTTAAAAAGTTTATAAACAAGTTGCACACTATACTTTTTCCACGACAAATACTTATTATTAACTAAAAATTATTTAAATTAAATAGTTTTATAGAGCGACATATATAAAACAATAGAGTAACAACTTGGGAATTTGTATTACCGGCGCGCCAGTGTGTAAATCAAAATGTATCCCTTGAAAATGGATTAACAACAGTTTTTCACGGTAAAGTGAAGCAAATGTTTTTTTGGAGTCTTCACCCAAAATTAAGTTAAATCTAGTTTACGGCGAAATTAAAAGGCCGTTGAGAAACTATTTAATGATTTTGTATTTTTGTATTGAGATAATATAGTAATTTTCACATTTAGTATTATTTTACAAGAAATGCACTTTATTTATTTGTATGACATTTTGCAACTGTCAACAAACTTGAGCACGTGACTAAATACCTGTTGCTAACTTCAGCCCCTGACTAAAACGCCATAAAGCTACTAAACTTGTCAATGTGTATTTTACTTAGTGTCATGGAAACATGTACGATAATGGGCGTTTTAAAGGAGGAAAAAAGTGACATTTAAAAATTTTGTTATATTTTTTTACGGATATGGATTTATCTTTGACTTTTTTTGACATTTGTTTTACATTTTGTCTTTTTTAATTATATTTGCATCCTTTTGACTTTTTGACCTATTTTGACTTTTTAATTTTGTTTCTCTTTGTTTTTACTTCTTATTTGTCTTTTTTAAATTGTTTTTGAATTTTTGACTTATTTTTATTATTTGTCCAACTTTTTTTCTTATGTTTTAGCCTTCTTTTACTTATTTGGACTTTTTGATTTTTTGTTCGAATGTTTGATTTTTTTTCTGTATTTTTTAATTTTTTTGTCTTCTTTTAATTCTTTTTGACTTGATGTAATGAAACGTTTACAAAGCATCCGTTGGATCAATGGAACATCAATGAATAAGGTAGGTAAGTTAACCATTAATATTTTAGTGTATTTATTTGTAATATTTTTTTTGGATATTTACCGATATGTAGCTGCGATACAGATACGGATTTTTTATTCGACTTTTTTTGACTTTGTTCTCACTTTTTTTTCTTTTTTAATTGTTTTTGACTTTTTTTGATTTTTGCTCCAACTTTTTTTTTACTATTTTAGCCTTCTTTTACTTATTTACTTATTTTCACTTTCTTGTTTGACGTATTTTGACTAATTGATTATTTTTAAATTTTTAACTTTTTTTATTCTTTTTTATTTATTTGTCCTTCTTTTTATTTTTTTTTTGATTATTTTTTTTTCTGTTTGTTAATGATTTAAATGTCATGAATATCCGTTGGATCAATGAAGGAGGTAGGTACCTTTTCAACACAATAGATAGCGCCACTAGAGCGTAAGTATAAAATAACTTTGGAATGTACAAAGATTTGACAATTCATTGGTTAGTAACATCAGGTTAGTAACCTAGGGTTACTAAAGCTAGAATTTAACTTAGGCACCATCAAGCTTGCGAGCAAGTGCCTAATTAAATGAGTGCCTAAAAAGTTTATAAACGAGTTGCATAGAGTTTTTCTTTGACAAATACTTAATTTTATCTAAAGAATGATTCAAATTAAATATTTGTATAAAGCGACATCTATAAGACAGAAGTAAAGTAACCATCCTAATAAAAAATTTTTACCTTATTTTCACCATCAACATTGCCCGTTATAATTTTAATTAATCTTAACAATTATTGCGACTTTAAAATATTAAAATAACTTTAAAATATGATTATGTAAAGAAAATATGTTATCCTGATTTTTTTTATTACTATAATTGCAAAATATTATCACAAAGTATTACACGGGAAATGTTAAAGGTACAAAAAGTGACAGTTTTATTTATTGGACTAACCGTTTTTACTTGGGAATCTATAGATACCGGCGTTAAAATCTCAAATTTTACTGTTTGCAGTTTTTCACAGTAAAAGAGAAGATAATGTTTTATGGGCACTGTACCCAAAATTTTTAACGCTTTATCTAGTTAACTATACTAGAAATAGGTAAAATAAGATAAAGTTTTCCAAATAAAAGTGAGAAAAATGTGATAACTAAACAGGTGTACCAAAAGTACTTTAACATTCATTGATAAAACATGAGTTTTGTTTCTTTGGTGCATTCCCCTTGCAAGGGTCGATTAAATGCAAATATACATAAAAAAATGCGCGAAGCATTTCCATAAAACATCGCAAACCTATGTATAAAGAGTTGATAGAGCAGCAAGCGTCCCCGAAATGGCCTCCCGCGTTTAATCCTTTAAGTGGATTCAAATCCAGCCTACTTCGGTCTCGTCTAGAGCGTTTGTCCTCGTTGGCGAGGACAACAGTCGAGTGAAGTACAAATACTTTAAGTCGTCGGCGGCACAAGGAGCCGAGTGGAAAATCCTTCGTTGCATGTGACACACTCCTCTCTTCTTCGGTATTAACTGTTCCATTGATGCTAAGCCGATTTTTACCCGCACAAGTGCTTTCCATTGTCAAGTTTCCACTTTTGTCTTAAGAAAAGTTTTTAATCTCAAACTCAATTCCATACATCCTAAAAACAATCAAATGTCTAGCATGATCAGATTCTTTTTCAAGCTTCTACACAGAGAAAAATCCCTTTTGAAAAACATTGCACAAAGTGGAGACTAATTTCCTATAATTTGTTGGAAGCAGTAAGATTTTATATTGCCACAATATTGTCCAGAAGAGAATTGAAATCGGCTGTTAAAAATATTTCAAAAATAAATGTTACTCTTTTGTACAATTTTTTAAGTAATTCGTATAAATATAGTATAACTTTGAGTTATGAGAATATAAATTTGGCAATATTTGACAGTTTGTAGCCAAGTATGAAGTAAACTTCACCATAATACCATTTAAAATAACCAATGAAATGATCTCCCGCTTGAGATAAGACGCCGGCCGGTCGCTTAACTGCAATCTGCATCATCAGTTTGCAGTTTGAGTTTGTCTTAAGAAGTGTATCATTGTGAGGTTAGTACTACATTTCTGGTGAGTAATTTTTGAATATTATTTTTTCGAATAGGTACTTGCAAAATTTTTCAGGGACTGTGATAAATCAATAATTATGACCAAATGAGGATAAATAGTTATTTGTTTTGGTGTTGAAAAGCGACTTTTTCATGCGAGTTTTTAAGTTGCCCACGAGGCCGTTAGGCCGAGTGTGCATTAACACGAGCTTGAAGAAAGCTTTTCTCACAATTTTTTATTATTTTTAAATACAAAACAAAATAACCTAAAAACTTGGCAGTTGAATTTCAAATGATGATGTCAATTTCTTTTCACACAGACCTGTCACTTTTCACACAGAAATGTCACTTTACATTTGTGTTTTGCCTTGCCAATGAAAAGATTCATGTTCTAAGCAACGATGCCATCATGAAAAGTGACTTTTACATAATGGTCGTAGAAAATAGTTATTTGTTTTACAAGTGTTGAAAAGCGACTTTTTCATGCGAGTTTTTAAGTTGCCCACGAGGCCGTTAGGCCGAGTGTGTATTAACACGAGCTTGAAGAAAGCTTTTCTCACAAGTATAACACAATGTTTTTTCTGCGACCCTTTTATTTTTTATTATTTTTAAATACAAAACAAAATAACTTAAAAACTTTTTTGACAGCTGAGTGTCAAACGATGCTTTCCGGTTCTTTTCACACAGACCTGTCACTTTTCACACAGAAATGTCACTTTACATTCGTGTTTTGCCTTGCCAATGAAAAGATTCATTTTCTAAGCAACGATGCCATCATGAAAAGTGACTTTTACATAGTGGTCGTAGAAAAAAGTGTTTTTATATTCCTACTTGATACATTATTCATCATTTACTATTTACTTTAGTTTGTAATTTATGTTTATTTTATGTTTTCAGTTTATATTAAGTTAACTCTATTCTTACAAAAATTTTCTGTTGGTCGCTGAATACATATTTAATCTATCGACATTTGTACAGTCTCCACTTATAATAGTACAAATTGTACTCACGTCATGTTGAATTTAATCTTAATATTATTAGAATTAGCTATACGAATTTTAATTTTCAGTTTGTAGTTTATGTTTTGTTATGTTTATTTTATGTTGTCAGTGTCAGTTTATATTAAGTTTAGCTCACAATCCACACAACAAGGTCTGTTCTATCTCATGCTAAAAATACTAAAAATCACTGCAACACTGCACAGAGTTTAACGGCGGCCATTTTTGTTGTTTACAATTCTTGTGCTTTGGGTTTGTGCTGTTTAATAATTGTTTTAAACGTTGGGTTTCTTACAGAGGCACTTGTAAGCCTCAAATAAGGCCTTTAAGTGCTAAGGACAACCATTTTACTCCTCTTTTATAATAAATATACCTTATTCTATCAGGGCTGTCAAATGACAATTTGAAGGTTAATTTGTGGGTTATAATTTAACCTTAAAATTGACATTTGACAGTTTTATGACAGCCCTGATAGAATAAAGTTTATTTTTTACAATAGAGGAGTAAAATGGTTGTTCTTAGCACTTTAAGGCCTCTTTTAAGGCATCCTATGAGAAACACAACGTTTAAAACGATTATTAATCTGTATAAACAGAGCAAAACCCAAAGCACAAAAATTGTAAATAACAAAAATGGCCGCCGTTAAACTGTGCAGTGTTGCAGTAATTTTTTGTATTTTTAGTACGAGGTAGAACAGTACTTGTTGTGTGGATTGTGGTTTAGCTATTGTATTTTCCATATTTTTTGTCGCATGTAAATTAATAATTTAGTTTCATTTTCCTTTTTATTACCCTCGAATCCCAAAAATTATTAAAAAAATTAAATAAATTGGAAAAATTATTATAACAATGTTGTGTTATTATGTGCCACAATTTGTGAAATTTCAAAACGCCGAAACTCGTTGCTCGACCATCTTGGATTTTGCTCAAATTTTATAGAAATATTCATTAGGGTCCCATAGGACAAAATCCACCCTTTAATTTAATTTTTCGCATTTGTCAAATCCGGCTTATTTAAATTAAAACTTTTTAATAACGTCATTTTTATGCTTTAATAATTTAAGCTGTAATTTTTTTTATATTAAAGATATTTTAAATTTTTAGATGTCATTTTAAAGCTGAAGTATTTTTTTTAAATATAAATTTACTCAATCAATATTTCTAAATAATTACACGGTGCTGAAAAAACCTGTATTTTACTAATTATTCGTGTTTTTTAAATGCGTTCCATGTCTCGGCTGTTTAATATGAACAGCTATTTTTTTATGTATTAAGTTTACATACCAAACACAAAATAAAACTTACAATGGACCCGTTTGGCATACGGTTTCCAAACAAAAATGCTTAAAATTTTGAAATTCTAAAAAAATCGCATTATTTAGGCCATTATATGAGGATGTTTACTTCCAAATATAATTATGAAATTTACAGGATAATTAGTCCCTACCTTGATATTCAAATGCCTGGTAGTTTGGTTTTGTTATTTTCATATTTGAAGCTTATAAAAGGAGAAAAATATTGAAATATTAAAAAGTCGCATTATTTCATCCATTCGGATTCCTTTTACCTATTTCACGATTGTACAAAGTGCGAAGTGCAATCATTGGTTTTTATTTTTTTATAATTTGATGATTTCAGAATTGTGTGTATGTTATTTTTGTGTTCATTTATGTAGGTATGTGTTAATTTTATGTTTAGGAAATTCATTAATAAAGCAACATTTCTAATAAAAATTTATTTCATTTAAGTTCCCAATTACCAACAAATACTTTTCTTACTTTTCTTACCCATGGGTCTACAAGGTCCTTATTAAATCTACAAAATGTTTGTTGTAATTAAAAACTACTTATTCAATTGGTTAGCACTGCTAACTGCTAACTTAGCAGATTACAGTTGGTAAACTGAACATAGAGTTATTTGGACCTGGATTAACATAAAATCTGGTTAATATTTGGTTAAAATTAACAAATATTTCTTTACAGTGTAAGATCATGGAAAAAAACAGTTAAAAAAACTTACTTAATAAATTAAGTATGAATACGTCAAAACCTCTATAACGAGTTTCTAATTGCCAAACTTGTATCCCTAAAAATGATTGATGTTCCCAGAAACAACATCATTAAGATAAGTGTTGGTAAAATCTTTATTAAACGTTAGTTTTACTGATTCGCCCCCAAAATGCATGCTATTTTAGTAACCAAAACACCGATAACGCGAAGCAATCAATCAAACAACCAAATTCCGGAAAAAACTGCATGAAACGAAAGTTGTGCTCGTTATATTCAAATAATTCAATTGAAGTAAGCGCCTTTGTAAAAACAAACAGCCAAGCATGAAATTATAGTCTGCGAACTTTAAAAAAGTTTTAACGAGAGCCATTGGCACAAAGAAATTAATCACTATTAACAGGGTATTATTAAGAGCAAGCTTTTTATCAACATCCTCGGCTAGATGAAGTTGACCTTTCAGCTTTTCAGCAGAGAAGCTTTCCTGAAAACCGAGTACTTAGACAGAGGCGTACGAAACAAGTCTGGAACTTTAGGAAATTATTACCAAACAGAAAGTTTTCATTTAAACCAATATTAAAATGTTAAAAAACTTTATTAGGTTTATTAGTTGTTGGAATTTTGCCAGCAATCGATGTATGCACTGATTACCCAAGTGGCACAACTGATTAAATTTATGTTAAATTTACGTTATGCCTGGTTAATTCATTTAAGTAATTTTGTACTGCAACGTTAAATTAACCTTAAATTAACTTTATTTTGTAATAAGTGGAGAATTCAATAATGGTAAAAATATGTTAGTTAAATTTAACTGGGGTAAAAAGTAGGTAATATTTTGTAATTTTTGGTTTATATTATCCTTTGTTAACTTCTTTTTAACTTAAGTCAACTTATCAACTATAATTAACCGGATGAAATTTATTTTAACTCTATATAATTTTAATTTACCAAATATGGTTATGTATATCAGATATACTGGAATCTGTGCATTGGCATTTTTTTTTGGTAGACTGTAATATAAAAATCAATGCTACCACCTGCCAACAAATAGCTCTTTAAAATGATTTGAAGGTCAAGACTAAGACGATTTTATTGTTTAACAAGAGTGCAGCCCATGGGCTCCGTTACATTTAAGGTCCGTGAACAATTGTTTTCTGTGTTTGGCCTCCAAACTAGCCCGATTTGAACTCTATTGACTATTGAGTGTGGTCAATCTTAGAAAACAATGTTTTAAGAAGCCATTATATACTAATTTAGGTTAGGTTATCAAAACAAGATCAGATTGAGCAAAATAATAATAATGGTTGTTCACCAATGTCTTTAAATAAGGATTTTAGATTTCCTAATGTAAAATTCTAATTTTGAATTGTTTGTTTTGTGTCGGTCGGAAAGACATAACACAAAAAGGGTTGTCGCTCTTGAAAAACAAAGAAAAAAGTAACTTAATGGCTTTTATCTGGTTCTATAAATACACTCTATAATTGGCGTAATCTTATA